CATTTACCGTATTTTTCGGACTATAAGCCGCACCGGACTATAAGCCGCACCGGAGTATAAGCTGCATGGTTCAAAGTTCAGGAAAAAAGTAGCGGCTTATAGTCTGAAAAATACGGTACTTGTTTCATTCACACCGGCTGGTAGCAGTTTTACCTTCAAGCTACAGTTTTCTCACTGTCTGGCGCGAATTGTTCTGACATTTCAAACACGATGTTTACATTCATCTCAGTTGGGAGCGATGAGTCAGTCCGTGCTGCAAAATTCCCACATCTTCCAAACCCGTTCCTTGGGAATTCTTCAGCAATTACATCATCGTAAGTGTAACCAACTTCTTCTCCCACAGCAAAGGGTCATCTTTTGCCTTTTGTCAGACCAGCAACCTCGTCTGTGGGTGAACTCAGAAAAGCCTTTTCCTCTGGTTGTGCTGCCGGGTTTTTCTTCTTACAAATGTGTTGGCATTTAGGAGGAAATGCGCAGGTTTTACAGCGGAAAAAAATGTCCAAACAAAAATGGCCTTACATTTTGTGCTAAGTCGAGGTGATTCAAAAGTTGCAGGACACTTTTATTTCAGAAACAAAAGGGAAAGTTATATATCTGAATACCCTAATAAGTAATGGGTGAGGGGCCTATCTTTGGAAAAACTTGCCCTTGATCCAATTCAAGATGGCAGCCATGTTCCAGACATAGGCCCCCCTCACCCAGTACTTGCTGGGGGTATTCAGATCTGTCATTTTCCTTTTTGTTTCTGAAATAAAAGGGTGTCCTGCAACTTTTGACTCACCCTGTATCTACACATCAACATGTATTATACCTAATTATGGTTTAATACATACTGAATTATGTTCTGCATACTTTACTGTTAGATTTAATAAGAAAAGTTTTAAGATTTAATTACGGAAACTTGAGCAGAGTTCATTTTATTTGTTGGTTTTTCTGCTAAAGTGTGTAGATTTACTTTGTGTCCATAATAAAATCCTATCTTTAGTTTCCCAATGCTGGCTTTTCTTGTGACAAATTCAGAGCTCATGTCCTAAAACAAGTTGTCRTGTTTTTGCATCTGTGCGTCTTATGTTTTGGGTTTTGATTGGAGGTATTTGCACGACCGCCTCACACAGCTGCAGGAGGAGGTGAGCCTGCTGAAATCAAACATCATGAAGTACAAGGTAAAGGTTGGGAGATCTGAAACTACGCTTTTTTTTTAGCCTCTAATTCTGGGAGACTTTTTTATTTCTTATATTTTATGGTCTCCGTTCAGAGCGTTCATCGAGCTCGGTTTGTTTCTCTCTCCGCAGACGGCCCTGGAGAGGAGGAAAAACTCCGGCACGTATGGGAGATCAAACATCAGCCCTCTTACTGGAGTACTGTCGGCCAAACAAGGTGAGAACACAAACTGTTTAGGCTCCTTGTTAAACTCAAACAGAAAAGAGTATTTTCACTAAGAACGCTGATTTTCCTCAGTAAAAATAATTGGTTTCTTTTACTAAATGATTCCTTAAGTTTTAGGATTTTTTTTTTGCCAGTCCTGCAGCCACCGGGACACCAGCTGGGTTTTTAATTGTGTTCTCGGCGGTGGAGAGCACCACTGGCAGGGAAATGAGGCTGCCATGATGACTGACAGTCTCTGGCAGAAGCAGCACAGTGGGCTTCTGACGTTAAAGTTAGGAAAGTGTCATCTAGTAGACATCTGTTTCCAACACTCCATCTCTGTCTTCCTCTTGTCACGCTGATGTCTATTTTTAATCKCGGTTGTATGTTTTGCTGCCACCTTATCGGGAGATTCCGCTTTATTTATTTATTTATTTATTGCGTTAATGCCACTTTTATCCGTTCCCGTCCTGTTTTTTTTTTTTTTTGTGCCTCCAACATGTTTTTTTTTTCAGTCCAGGAGATGCTCCTGGAGGAGCAGGGCTGCAGCCTGCCTGCCACTCCTCAGTCCATCTCGGACCTCAAGTCGCTGGCCACCGCTCTGCTGGAGACCATCCATGAGAAGAACCTGGTCATCCAGCACCAAAGACACACCAACAGGTAAAACCCCGCCGCTTCTTTCAAGCCCCACCTGCTCCTCACTGGCAAGCCGATTTATAAAACTAACTTTTGACTGGGAAAGTTTGGATCATTTGAAGTGGGTGTTTGTGGGAAGGTTTATAAACAACATCTTACCTGCTTTAGATGCTCTTTGAACTATATTCTGACTGAATTGATGAGCCTACGGCTAGTCCTGTTGTTTAGACAAACACTTTTAAAACCTTTCTACTACCATCAGTTTTGCATTACCTGGTTAATCTGACAGAAATATAATGATATTCCAGTCAGAAGTACACAAGCTTACATTAAAAGTGCAACAGCTAGCTGCTGCTTCTATTATCGTCTGCAAAAGTATTTTGAATTTTACGTAAATTTAATACAAAGTTAATGGAGCTGTAGGCTTGTATGGATTTTTTTTTACGCTACGTAAACTTCTGTAAATTTCGTAAACTTGCGTAAATTTTATAAGCGCATTAAGGTGACTGCAGCTGTTTTATGAAGCCAAAGTAAGACACAAACAGAATAAATTACGCCGGCTTGGATAGAGGAGGTGGGTAGCGATGTTACAGCTCCAGCAGCTGCTGTTGTGTGTTGTTTACCCAATCCCCAGTCCAGGTCAGTTCATAACTTTAAAAAAATTTGAAATTTCATAAACTTCCGTAAGCTTCGTAAGCAGTGTGGTCTCAAAACAACATTATCACTTATCTCWAAGACAATTTATCATCCAGCAAAATTGATCATGACAGGCCTATAGTGATGTAAAGGTTGATGAAGCTAACTTTTCATGAGTGGCTGTGAAATCATTGACATTTTAGTTGTTCTAAGAAGACAGCAAACCACCGTGGTCTTGGCTAGCTGTTAGCTCGTCAGTCCAGTCAGAATGAAACCGTTTTTTCATACCGAGGTCAGTCAAAGAGCTTTTTCCAATGAGTAAGATAGTAATTCATCATAACCTTTTAAGATAACTTTGTATAATTGCTCCTCCTAAAAGGCAAACACTAAACTGTGATAGAAAACTGACCCGTACTGTCTGCTCTGCAGGATTCTGGGTAACAGAGTTGCCGATTTAGAAAGGAAGCTGAAAACCTTGGAGGTGTCAGGATTGTGGAGTCTACCAGGTGAGTTAAAAAACTATTATACTGCACGTTTATTTACTTATATATTTTATTTTTGTAATTTGTATTGAACCGATCTTAACCCCCAAAAATATTTAACAAAAACTAATGTTTTTCCCCCCTTGCTTTGTTTAAAAATACACCAGTTTCAACTTCCTCCTCTGTCCACCCTCAGAAAGGCTTTGTCTGAGAGTCTGTAATCTTTACCACACCATAAGCAAACACACACTGTGTGCGTTTGTCTTATGTTTTACTCTGACTTCTCCTGWATCAGTAGAGACCAACTCGTTACGTCTTCTGTCAACATGGGAGCTGTGAAAATAGACTTTTCAGCKTTAATACCCGAGTTAAAAGTGGCTACTGTAAAAAGTTTGGGTTTAGGTTCYATTTGGGACCCATTATAGAGCTGATTATAAATGTAGTCACAGAGCTGAAGTGGCATTGTGTGTGTAAGCATTGTACCAACAACGCTGTTATCAGTTGGCTGACRGTGTGCAGCAGGAAAATAACCTTCCTCTGGATAAGGAGAATGGTTTTACCAATGTCCTCCCAAAACTGTGTCTAATCAACTTTATTTTTTAAAACCAAAAAAAGTCGTGAAAATATAACGTGATGTTTGTGTTTCCAGTAGGGATTAATTAAGAATCGATTAGAACTGTTTAAAATGTGAATCGATTCATAAAAACAAATGAATCTCTTTCATTGTATAACAGTAAGTTATGACAAAATTCAGTTTGATACTTGATAACTTTTGGTTGCAAAAGGATTTGTGATGACAATTTTATTTATTTTGAAGTTATATTATGTTACTATACAGTTTGATACAGGGACAAAAAGGGTGACAGTAAAAGAAAAGAAACATATTTGGTTATAAAATGGCAACAATTCCTTTTGTTAAAACAAACAAAAAAAGTAAATAATCCTGGACTTAAAATCAATAATTGAATCAGGGCTTTGTTGAATCATTACATCTCTAGTTCCCCGCCTTGTAACAAAACAATCAATATGATGCTCTAGTTGGTCGTAATTTTGTGACTTAATTTGCCCCATATGTTTTTGCCAAACAAGGTAAAGTACCAAATAAATGTTCAAATAGTGTCTAAGCTGCGTATTTAACTTTTGGTTTATTTTTACACTCATAAAAAACAGTCTAGAGTGTTTTTTTTAACAGTTCGACCTCAATAACTGGTTTCTAAGTTTGTTTCCCTTGTGCCTCTTTTCATTGATTCTAACAACCTTTATGTTTTGTATTTACATCAGTGTGTTTCTGTCTCCTCTTCGCTGCGTCTCAGGCCTGACCTACCACGTATCTGTGGGAATTGGGAGTATGTATTCCTTCTGCCCCACTTAGCCCATCCGTGCCCTCCTCTCCGTCATGCCAGAACAAATCTGGGCAAACGCCCAGAAAACACGCCACCTCGTGCCCACCTTTTCCACCACGTGTCAGCTCCATCGACCACCAGCTCATGTGTCTGTTCATGATGCCACACCGGGTGCCAAAACATCACACACACCTCATCGCTTTGGTCCAGCCGACTCGTTCCAAAGGGATTTTTTTTTTTAAATGTTGAGTCTGATCAGAGTCAGCGTGTTAATGTTTGGCATTTAAATCATGAAGATTTAACATTGTCAATTAGAAGCTCAGAATTTCTTGATGCCATACCATAAAATCATGTTTGTTGACCTGAGTGATGTGGAAATTTTGTGATTTTTTTTTTCAAAAGGTACAAATCCCTTTTTATTTCCTGTAAACAAACTAAAAAGAAAAAAAGCATTGAGTAATCATCCAAATCTAAAAAAAAATAATAAAAAGTGGCATTTCAGATCGAGTTGGTAGTGTAAAACCAGGAGAGAGGGGAAAAAAATCCCAGATTTTCCCCACTGGAGGGCGATGTTGTCCCACCTATTACCCAGACTTGAATGGTGGGGTGGGCTGCATCTGGATGGAGGTGCCCTGTCACGAGACCGTCATTCTCCCCGCCATAAAACTGACAAGCATCCATTACTGAAAATGATTGCCCACATTACAAACACATTTAGGTGAATGTGCCGTTATTAGGGAATTTGTAGGCGAGGGAGGGGAGGGCTGGGGGGGGGGCTGGCCCGGGAGTGCCTGACGAGCTCGCTGTCCACCGCCGTTAGGGAGACAAAGATATAGAGAAAGATGCGAAAGTGTCTGATGGATATCTGAAGGCGAACGGGATCGGATGCAGGGGGCCTTGGCTCGCCTTTCCCGAAGCCCGGAGAACTCTAAAAGGCGACTACATCGTCTACGGATGAGAGGGAGCGGGAAACAATAACGGCGACGCGGATGGAGTGGGTTAGACGGGAGTTGAGATGGATAGCTCCTCTAGTTGAGCCGAACTCGGTCCTGAATGACTGCGAGCTGAAACGTAATGGGACAAGTAACAAACATTTTAGTGAGCGTGAGCGATAATAAAGACAGAGGTGATTATAGACTGAGCCATTACGGCTCTGCTTAAGTCTGTTGACAGACTTTTTCTGGTTAGGAGGCAGATGTTTCAGCCGTAGACGACGTTTCAGAGCTAGAGCTAGAGGTTTGTAGCGGTGCTGCTTTAATATGCTTTGTCCCCCTGGTGACGTTTGGAACCAGTTTGTCTAGCTGCCCGTGAGGATCAATTAGTTTTTCCAAATAAAACCTGGAAAAGTTTGCAGGAGTTCTTCATCTCCTGACATGAGGCGCAGGGCTTTGATTTCAGAGTGGATCTAATCTTTTTTTAAAATCATTGTTGATGTAATTTACACTATCCCATGGGGAGTCTGTTTTAAAGGCCAGATTGGGCCTTTTGGGTTTAGTTGCTCTTTTCTGTGCACCACAAAAACCCAAAGTGGACAGATAGCTGGGATTTTCTCTCCCTTGGAAGACACCACTGCTGAACGGTCTGAAGCTTTTATTTCAGCGTACAACAGATTTAAATGTCTGGCAAATTTGGCACATCTCAGACAAGATGGATTTTACTTTTGACCAAGTAGGTGCTTGGAGCTGAAGATGTATATTTTGGTCCGTGTACTCTTTGGTCATCGGATTGATTTAGAATAAGATATTGGAAAAACATTTTTATCCGTATTTATTTATTTAGYGTTATTTCACYRGGCRAATCCCATTGAGATCGCAGATCTCTTTTGCAAGGGTAACCTGGGCCTGAAGGCAACATGTTGTACATATTTTTGTACTGTGGCGAAAACCAGAGWACCYGGAGAAAACCCATGMAAGGMCTAGGAGAACATGCAAACTCCACACCGAAAGACCCCAGGTCCGAACTGGGGATCGAACYCAGGACCTTCTTGCTGCGAAGCATCGGCSCTAATCACTGAGCCATTGTGCTTAAACTCAAAAACACAGAAAAATGGTCTGTTATTTTAAAGTTTAACACTGTCAGGGCACACGGAGCATCCACAGCCTTCTAAACGACACGTGCCATTCATGACTGTCATGCGTCGTGTTAACAAAGTCACCCAGTCATCCGTATTCCTTCCCGTTTGGTTTTTGCTGCACACCTGAGGAATCAGAGAAATGCCTCGAGTTCAAAGTTTGTGCGAAGRCGAGCACTTCTTTACATGCCGCCCTGTCCGCGTGCGTTCGCCGTGTTTTTATATTTATGGCGTTGGGTTTATGGTGCACGGTCTCCTATAAGCAGCATGTGGTGTCGGCCCAAAAGGCGTGCAGCCATCCCTAATGAAGACGGATGACGGGGAGCTGAATTATCTTCCTGCGTGCGCTGCGATGCACGAATGTGCTTCATCCATTTCATCAGCCACCTTTATGTCGCTACCTGCTTTGTTTTACTGCCAACATTCAGAAGTGTAAATAACTGGGGTGGGTGTCTTTTTTTTTCTGTTGACTCTGGTCTTACAGGAACACGAGACAACATCACACTGAATGAAAACYTTCAGCCTGAGCTCCGTCCGACACGTGTTGCTTCTTTACCACTCAGAGGTGAGTGTGGACATGTGGGTACCCCTAATGAGAATATTAACCACTTTAAAGCATTAAAGTACCTGTCACATAAAATTTTTGTAACAAACCTGAATGAGTTTTTGGAAACGTAACATTGATAACATGTAGCAAAAAAAAATTTGACGCTGCCTAGATAAATAGTTAATGAGATATTTGCATGTGAAGTAACAGGAAGTGATGTCAAAGGAGAATGTCTGAATGTAAACAGAGCTTTGCTACAACAGCTGACAACAGAYTGTAACAAAGAATCTGATGTTTCTTTTGATTATTTTGAGTCACTATCAGAGAGATGAAGAGTCAAGAGTTCAAATATTGTTTTAATAAACAAAGACCAGGGAGTTCACTTTGAGTTCCCCTTTGATGTCACTTCCTGTTTCATTTTGGCCCAGCTAGGTTCAAATGAAAATATGACAGTTTTTTTAACAAAATGGATAAAACTGTGTATTACACCAGGTTTCTTAAATATAAAGACGCTTTCTTTGGCTTTCTGTATTTGAAGGATATGCATGTCACAGCCACTGAAGTTCGCACTTTTTAAAGTAATCTCCCACCAAAGAGTCATCAGTAGTTATAGTTTTATTAATGTGACATCAATCATAAAACAGAGAGTTTGGAGTAAAAATAGTTTTTGAGTTTTTGAAAACCGTTCTTTCTCCAAAACAAGAGTTGAGCAACCAGACTACTTATTTACCGCAGCGATTAGCCACCATGATGTCTTAACCCCGCCCCGTCCCCCCTCCCCCTTTTTTGTCCCCCATCTCCCGTGTTTAACCTGAGTTTCGCCTTCCCGCCTCTGCTCCTCTCAGCCTCTTACTGGTGCAAGCTGTCCAAATGCCATGGCATTTTGGAAATGTGAAGCAAATTCTCACCCGCTGACATTCAGAAACTTCTGCCATGTTCTCTTTATGGGAGGGTGGGGAGGATGCCATAAATATGGATGCCACTTTCAAGTAATGTTGCTTTCTTCTTGCGCGTACGCGCGCGTGTGTGTGTGCGTGTGTGTGCGTGCGTGTGTGTGTGTGTGTGTGTGGACGGGTTTTTCCTACAACATGGGGTATTTTTTACAAAAAAAAGCAGCCAGATGGGGACCGAAGTGAATCGTGGGGACCTCACATCGGTCCCCACGGGTCCAAATGCATGTTACAGGTGTGGGGTTAGGBTTAGGACCAAGGTTTAGGTTAGTTTTAGGGTCTGTGTCAGTTTCTGTGAGGTTAATTTTAGAGTATATGGTCAGGGTTAGGATATAAAGTCTAAAAAACATGAATGGAAGTCAATGGAAGGTCCCCACGGGGTCRAGAAACAAACGTGTGTGTGTGTGTGTGGGAGGGGCTGTGGTGTTAAAGGTTGCTGGAGCTCAGTATGCAGTATTTAACCTTTTTGCTTTCACGTCCACAAATATGGGTCAGTAAGCCCCAAGGAGAGAGAGAAAGTATTTTGGGCCCCCTCTTGTCTGGGGCGATGCTGCTGTACAGATAGGTAATTAAAATAACTTGCTACATTAGTGCAGCGATTTAACTTCCAAAGGGTAAGTGGTTGTTATTTTTTGTCCAGATTTGAACAGATAAGATTGAGTTTTTGCATCATCTGTTTATAATGTTGTTGTTTTTTTKTTGTTTTTTTGGCTTCAGATGAAGTGAGTAATTAAAAAGTCCAGTCGTCTCGTTTTCCTTTTCCCTTTCCTGTCAGATGACAGGAGTCCGCATGAATCATCGTGGGAGCGCCGCACCGCTGGCAGCGACCTTGGCACAGATGGCGTCGGCAGGGAAGACGCACCTGCACCGCTCAGCGGCCTGGATCCTCTCGAGGACGAGCCGGAGACGAATGGGCTCGGGAGGAGAGAGGGAGAAACGGCGACCCCGACGGACGACCCGGAGCCGGGCGYTGGATACAGTCCGGTGGAGGAGGCGGGGCGGGAGGAGGAAAGGGACGAGGAAGAAGAGCTGAGCTCCACCGTGGAGGAAGGAGAAGAAGCCGTTCTAGCGCTGGACGCTCGTCCCACCGACTGGCTTTCCGTCGAACGGTCTTTAGCCCGCCGCTCAGAAATGCTTCATCCACCCTGCCAGGACAGAGAGTTTGATGATGGCGATGACGAAGGCTCTGTTTCAGGTCCAAAGAGCCAAACCGCAGAGGGGTCGAGTGAAACAGAGTGGGACTTTCACTGTCCTCCCACACAAAGGGACAACTTGGCATGATCTGAGCTGATGTCATTAAAAAAATCAACTTCCATCAATAAAACAGAGAAAACTCTGCTTCAAAACCAAAAATWATCCACTTTGAATTTCCGACCAGCTTGTTCAAAACAGAAAACCTTCAAACCAATAAAGATGCAAACTTAAAGCCCTAAAGGGAAATGAAAAAATTAGATGATAAAACAACAAATAAAGCAAAACCAACTCTGGGGTCCCATATTCTCTTGATGCTTTCCTCTGCGAAATGATAATCCCGTTTGTTTATTTTTCAGTTCTTACGTCTATAAAGTCAATGCTGCATTTTGTTGTGACTTCTACAGGAGTGGTCCAAATTGATCTGCCAAACATTTATGAATGTCATCAAGATTTTTGAAATAATATTGTCACTAATTATATTAAGGACTCACTATTTATAAGATTAAATCTTTATTTTCTGTGGTTTTCTAATATTTTGTATGGGGATGTGAATACATGTGCCTTAAACTGTATGTCAAAGTAATAAGTTGTGCTAAAATAAAAGCTAAGAACTGTAGTGTTGGTTCTTGTATTTTTTTTGTTTGTTTTCACAGCAGCATCAAGAAAAAAATAAGAAAGAAATTAGGATTATTTTTGACGGTATACCTCTTGGTACGTTATATGCCAGGGACGAGCAACTTGCGGCCCGTGGGCTGGATTTGGCCTACGGTTGTCTACCATTCGGTCTGCATTGTTTTCCCCCAATAATGATAAAAAGCCCAAGCCCGAAGTAAACCCAGCATATTTTAATTACCGTATTTATGCAAGTTTAATGCAACGCCCATTTTTTTTGATTAAAAAGCCTAAAAAAACAAACTGATCCTCGTATAAACGCTGTCTCTAATTTCATACAGACCTCTGTTTTTTGCCCTTGCTGGGACACCTTTGGATGCCTTTGTTTTTAGACCACCTTAGTTTTTTAAGCAAATCAGATAGGAGTGGAACCACAGCATGCACGCTTGTGCACCTTTCTCCTTTCTTTTTTTTTTTCAAAGTAACCTTGGTCTATAATGAGTAGATTAACACAACTTTAGKTCGTGCATTCTCATTTAGTTTTTTATGCTTTGTATAGACTTATTAAAAACACCAGAGAAACCCAAACCTGGCCTGGCCCTACTGTCAAGCATACAATTTCATCCCGACCCAAATTTGGACCAGGTTCAGGCTATAAATCTAAACGCTACAGGGGTCACGAAATGATGTATCACCATTTACTGTAATACTGTAAGCAAAATGTTGCCAATTTTTTTCTCTCCAAAATATGTTAACTTTTAAAATCTCTGATTAAAGTCAGTTTATTTTGATGCAATTGCAAGAACATTGAACAAAAGCGGAACTGCATTTATACTTCGCATTTCTTACAATCAAATGGCTGGCTGACTGCTGCCAACTAGTGGTTGGAGGCAACAGTACAACACAAAAATAAACCACTGGCATGAAAATTTACATTTTAAATTTTAATTAAAAATTGATACAGTACCTTTGACAATCGACAGTCTCAGGAAATATTCTCTTTCACCCCTAACACATGCACAAAAATTTGTAAAATGGCAGTTTTTTATCACATTTGGGTACGTGTGTGCAGCACTATGTGGTTCTCTGGTAGTGCAAACAAATTGTGGCTTTTTATTTAAGTTGTCCATCCCTGTCATATGATATATTAGTTATTGGTATTGCTGTTTGTTCTGTAAGCAGTTACACACGTAAAGTGTGTCTGTGATAGTAAATCCAAAGTTCCAGACACCAGAYGTTTCCCAATAAGTATGACAGAAAATGGATGCACAGACCCACCTGTGTTGTCTGGTGGCTGAAGTCCAATCTCCAGGAAGTATTAAAAAATCAGTGGCGATGCCGACTCGCGCTACACGCAGGTGACAGCTGGCCTCTCCAGGCAAACGCAGCATCAAAGCCAGAATGCATGAAGTGCTTATTCTGCAGAAGGCTACTTGCTATTTTTAATCTCCGACAGGAAAAACAAAGAGACAAAAAGTGGAAATTCGAGCTTGGGATCCTCGGTGCAGACCCGGCATCGGCTCTGTGCCAGGCAGCTGATTTGGCAAACCTCGCTGAGCTTTTATTTTTGTTCCAAGTTTAGGTATTTAAACCAGATGGAAGGCGAACAAATAGATTTGCAAGATGATAGATTGTTGAATTTGTCTAAAGTAATTGCCAGTTTTTGATTGTTTTCATGCATATGAATGACTGGGAGAGACTGGTTAGTTGTTATCGACATTGTCTGATTCGAGGAGAGTTGCAGGTGCGAGTTGGGACACGTGACCATGTTTGAAGCTAACAATACAAACAGGAATTTCTGTTTTGTAGATTATTTCTTTGTTGTAACAATGATTCTTGGCAATAAAACTTATGCCATTATTGCTGCCACATTTGTAAAGAACATGCATTTATGAGATGAGCGGTAGAGCTGAGTATGTGGATTGCGGACATGAAAATTTTGCCAAATCTCTGCCAAACGGCTTATTTTACTGTTGCTATTGACTCTTGTTTGGAGCTTCTGTACCTCCGTGTGAGCATGGGTCCTGCCACAGGGGTCAGTATATGTCTGCCCTAAGAATTGGCATACCACATTTGACTAATCTGGGTATGGYTTGTGCAATTGGGCAACTTCAAGCTGGTGTTCCACAAAACCAAGTTGTGGGATTATTTGGAGYGATCACTAGTAGTACCATCTCCAAATTGAAGGCCAAGTTCCACAGATTTGCAGGACGATATGGCYGACAGCCTGTTGTGGCTGCGTATGGTTCTTCCACATGCTACTGAAGCTCCTGTTTGTTAAAATAATAAATTGTCAAGCAATATATCTTGTTTATTCCAACTTTAATCATCCAGTTCACCAAACATCAAATGATCCAACARCAGAATAAACGGTTTGGCCTATTTTTCATGTGCGCAACTCACTTAGCTCTATTGCTCATCCCATAAATGCATGTTCCTTACAAATGTGGCTCCATTTAAAAGGGAAATTAGCAGGCTTTACAATGGTACAGGATTTATTGCCAATAAGATTTGTTACAACAAAGAAATAATCTACCGAACAATTTTTTAAGCTTTTGGTATAAGTAAATGTCATGCTAAACAATTCTGTTTGTTAAAAAAAGATTCTCTAGAAGTTAAATCTGCCTTGGACAGCGCTATCCAATCGTGGTCCTCGAGGGCCACTATCTCACACTACTTTTAGTTGTTTTAGCAGGCCTTCAAGTCCTTTAGAAGCCTGGTGGTCAGTCATTCTTTCAAATTAGGTGTCAACGCGATATTTCCTCTTGTCCAAGGAATATTTTGTATCCATCACCTCTTGTTTGACTGAATAAAACTTGATTACAAAGTTTTTATTGATAGAAACATTTAAATCCGAGCTGGCTGTGTGGTGACCCCCATGATCTAGACTGCATAACGTAGTATAGAACTGGTGACCCTTACGTAGCTGAAAGAAAAGGGTTTTATATTGTAGTACCACCTAGCATCATATCTTAGACATGGTTTCTTGTTTCATTTCCCAGCTGCCCAGTCAGGCTACAGATATAGGCTCACCTGCTCTAATAAGTTTGAGCAAGAAGCCAAGGTCCCTGATTGATAWAAAAGAGTTTGACATCCCATCATATCTGACTCCTCTTGAGGTTTGAGAGAAAGAGGCATTGGGATATTGCAATTTTCAAGCCAACCACTTAGCAAGGTTAATTACTGCACCAACCAGGTGCTCCCTACTTGTAATGATCAATGTCCTGCATGCTCCACTCGCTCACCTTTTTTTTTTACGCTTACCTGGGTTTTATTTCATGTTTTACCTCCGGGACGTTCTAGTGGAGCCATTCAGCTTTGCTGTCTGGGTGCTAAAACTTGATAAGCAACGTTCTGCTCTGCTGCTGACAAGACCAGGAAGAAGAAATGTTCTGTTGCACTCTCAGAGGGGGCTTAACGTCCCATGAAAGATCAAACTCGTAAAATGTTCTTTTTGGATTTTTTTCTTAATTATCTCCCAAAGCTGAAAGGTGAAGGTGGACAATAATGTTTTGGTTGTGTCTGTCTGTTAGCAAAATATGTCATGAACCACTGGATGGATTTAAAGGCACAGTGTGTAGGATTTTGTCAATTCTTTTAGTCGAAATTGAGATAATCACTAATGACAATAATAAAAT